GTATAATGATGTGATTGTGATGCTGTAATTCTGAGTGTTTTATGTGCTGCAGAACAGGAACCTGCTGTAAAACAGCAATTATGCTGAGTCAGACTTGATTTTTAATAATCTTTTCCTGTTAAATAAATAAATCAAATCAAATCAAATCAGAATAAAAGAATAAAGAGGAACTTTAACTACTCCTAGATAGAATGGGTATAAATATGAAAACAATGATGTATTGCTTTTTTCTTTCATATTAATATATTTTTGTCCTTAAACAAATGTACTGTATTATTATTTTCTCACCTACTTCTTTCAGGTCTCTCTTTGATCTCTCTCCTTTCTCCCCCTCTTTGCATGTGTACAAACACTTTACACTAAACTACTGCAATATAATCTTCAAATAATATAAAGTAAAAAAGTGTTGTTCACAATTTCCAGTCACAAATGTGACAGAAATAATTTTCATTAGGAACTGCGCATATGTTGTTTTCCATTGCAAAATATTGCATCAGTCTGCAAGCGGTTCTGCTGAGGGTCGCGGGCCGGCTGTGGTCCCTGGACTTGCTGGCCAGATGGAATTGATCTTGGAGAAGCTGATAGATCGGCTGGGCAGAATTGTCCACACTATTTGTTAGACTGGATTCGYTACATTGAGATGTACCAGCAGACATTAAAACAAATGGAAAATTGTTATCGTCTGCCTGACTCTTCTGTTCTCAAAACATCTGATTACAGATTCGGCTCTCCCCTACAATGGCCTTGATCTGTTGGACTAAATTCTTCCTGGATGCTGACGTCGACTGAGGCTCTGCCCCACACCTCCCCCCCTCTCACACCCATCTGTGATCTGGTTCCTGGAGCAGGCTGAGGGCACACAGAATGAACACTTAACATCCATATTCTGAACTATGGCTGTGCAGGTTTTGGGGATTGGATTCTTCGGGCTCATTTTTCAGATATTCACACAAGCATACAACACTCATGGCTTCAGATACACGTCCCCCTAAACTCACTTACTCCTCTGGTTGATAAATGTGCTCTATGCAGAGTTTTTTTTATATACAGTGGTTTGCAAAAGTATTCATACCCCTTGAACTTTTCCATATTTTGTCACATTACAACCACAAACATAAATATATTTCACTGGAATTTAA